GAGTTCAAGGCCAGCCTGGTCTACAGCTCCAGCTACAGGACAGCCAGGGCTACACAGAGAAACCCTGTCTCAAAAAAAAACAAATAAGTAAATATAATGAGCTAATTTGTTGAACAAGAGGAGGGTGTTCAAAGTTTTAGACAAGGAAAATGTCGGCAACAAAACAGCCGTAACTGGTAAGTAAGAAATTAGCCCGGCATGGCAGTGCACGCCTTTAATCCCAGAACTCGAGAGGCAGAGACAGGTGGATCTCTGTGAGTTAGGGACTGTCCTGATCTACATAGCAAGTTCCAGTACAGCCAGGGAGGGACACACAGTGCTACAGAGAGGGGTGAGGAGAGGGGAGGGAGAGGAACACCATTAAAGAGAAGCTAGAGCTGGTAAGACAGCTCAGTGGGGTAAAGTCAAAGCCAGATGATCTTTTTTTAATTTATTTTATTGATATTTATTGAGCTCTACATTTTTCTCTGCTCCCCTCCCTGCCTCTCCCCTCCCCCCTTCAGCCCTCCCCCAAGGTCCCCATGCTTCCAATTTACTCAGGAGATCTTGTCTTTTTCCACTTTCTACTTCCCAGGTGGATTAGATCTATATAAGTCTCTCTTAGTGTCTGCATCGTTGTCTAAGTTCTCTGGGATTGTGGTTTGTAGGCTGGCTTTCTTTGCTTTATGTTTAAAAACCACCTATGAGAGAGTGCATGTGATAATTGTCTTTCTGTGTCTGGGTTACCTCACTCAAAATGATGTTTTCTAGCTCCATCCATTTGCCTGCAAAATTCAAGCTGTCGTTATTTTTTCTGCTGTGTAGTACTCCATTGTGTAAATGTACCACATTTTTTTTAAATCCATTATTCAGTTGAGGGGCTAGCCAGATGATCTTAATTCACTTCTTAGAACCCACAAGCTGTCCTCTGGTCACCACATATGCATAAGTGTATGCATATTCACATACATGCACACATGTACACACACTTATATCAATGTAATTTTTTTTTGTTTTTTTTGAGACAAGATTTTTCTTTAGCTTTGGAGCATGTCCTGAAACTAGTTCTAGTAGATCAGGCTGGCCTCAAACTCAGAGATCCTTCTGCCTCTTCTTCCCGAGAGCAGGGATTAAAGGTGTGTGCCACCATGCCCAGTCTCTATGTATATTTTTATTTTATTTTAAGAGAACTCTGGTGTTCTGTACTGGGACAAGCAAGCGTTTCCTTGGGGTCAGCATACATAAGATGATGATGATGCAGCTGTGATCCAAGGGGAAAACATCTGTTGTCCCAGGTTCTGAAGACATGAAAACTACAAGATTTGGGGGTGGGTATGGACACTCTGGTGAGAGGCCCTAAGAAGCTATTGTGCAAAGCTCTCAAGGTGAAGCCTAGAGCTGCAGTGCAACCCCAGAATATTGGAGATGCCAGGACCATTGACTGGCACATGCACTGAGGAGCACTGCACGTGATGGCCCTAACCTAGCAGAGAATCCATGTGTATAGGACATGGAGGGGTGGGGCGAGGCAATGGAAGCTTTTTTGGAGACCTCAGATCCAGAACGCAGAGCTTCAGGACTTGGCATCTGCCTTACAGGCTCTGGGTTTGCTCTCATGTGATTGCTCCCTCCTACATCCTGGTTCTTCTGCTGTGGAGCAGGCATTTGTACTCTGTGCCATTGCAAGCTGGAAGGCTGTAGCTTGTGTTTTATTTTATAGGAACTCAAGAGACTTTAGACTTTTAAAGTGTTGATACTTTTCATGACTGTGGGATTGAACTCTAAAAGTCTGCCTAGTGTACTTAGTGTTATAAGGTGACCATGAGTGTACTGGAGACAAGAGGCTATAGTTTAAAGTGATATGTGTGTGTCAGGTTGATAAGGGGTGGAGTTAAGGTGGTTAGTTTTAATCATTAGTTTGATGCCACCAAGAATCACCTGAGAAGGGCCTCTGAGAGTGTCTGTTAAGAATTTCTTCCTTTTAGCCAGGCGGTAGTGGCGCACACCTTTAATCCCAGCACTGGGGAGGCAGAGGCAGGTAGATCTCTGTGAGTTTAAGGCCAGCCTGGTCAACAAGAGCTAGTTCCAGGACAGGCTCCAAAGCTACAAAGAAACCCAGTCTCGAAAAACCAAAATAAACAAACAAACAAACAAACAAAAAGAATGAAAGAATGAAAAAGAAATCTGGTCACGTAGGCCTTTAATTTCAGCAGAGAGACCTCTGACAGTTCAAGGCCAGCCTGGTCTACTTAACGAGTTTCAGGCCAGCTAGAACTACGTAATGAGATCCTATATTTAAAAAGGAATCAGCCAGGCAGTGGTGGCACACACCTTTAATTCCAGCACTCAGGAGGCAGAGGCAGGCAAACTTGAACTCTGTGAGTTCAAGGCCATCCTTGTCTACAGAGTGAGCGCCAGGACAGCCAGGATAGACACCAAAGCTACAGAGAAACCTTGTCTTGAAAAAAGCAAAAACAAAACAAAAAGACAGGGTTTCTCTGTAGCCTGTCCTGGAACTAGCCCAGCATGAAAGATTTCTTAATCACATGAATTGCGGAAGATCTTCTCAGTGGGTGGCACTGTTCTCTGGGTTTGGGGACCCTGGGCTGGAGAAGTGCAGAGGGCGGCTGAGCAGTAACATGCACAGCACTGGTTGTGATGAGGGTTCGACAGCCCCCTGAACACACTCACTTGTCTCATGGTACCTTTACCTTCCCACATACTAGTCTGGCGGGTCGCTGGAGGCCCCTCTGCAGTCTAACCCCCCCACACACCTCTCCTCAATGGCACAGATGTTAGTCACTGTGATTTTTCTCCAGAGGCAACAAGGGGACGAAGGTGAGAGTGAAGGAATGGTGACAGTGACTGAGCATGTCCCTGAAGCGGGAAGGCTGGAGGAATATCCAGGGCATGCAGGACAGCACGGAGACAGGGGGAGCAATGCATTAAGTGTTCAAATAGAACACTTTAACCAAGGGATAGTTAAAGTCCACACACTGCCTGTTGGTTTTGATCAGGGCCTAAAAGCTGAGACAGAGATGGTTGGGGAGACTTATAGGTAGTGGTAACAACATGTAAGCAAGTGGCCTCAGTAGGGAAGATGGCAAGACAGTCAGGTAAGAAGAGGTTAAGGCCAGGTGGTGGCAGTGCATGCCTTTAATCCCAGCACTCAGGAGGCAGAGACTGGTGGATCTCAGTGAATTCGAGACGAGCCTGGTCTACAAAGCGAGTTCCAGGATAGCCAGGACTATTACACAGAGAAATCCTGTCTCTAAAGACAAAACAAAACCACAAAACAACAACAACAACAAAATAGGATAAGGGGGCTGGAGAGATGGCTCAGAGGTTAAGAGCACTGACTGTTCTTCCTTAGGTCCTGAGTTCAATTCCCAGCAACCACGTAGTTGCTCACAGCCACTTGTAATGAGATCTGGTGCCCTCTTCTGGCCTGCAGGCAGACCTGCAAACAGAACATTGCATACATAATAAATAAAATAAATCTTTAAAAAAAAAAAAGAGAGAGAGAGGTTAAAGAGCAAGGGTAGTGGTGCATGCATGTGATCCCAGCGGTCAGGAAGCTGAGGCATCTCGATGGAGAGGAAGAGGTCAGCTTGGGTGACGGCGTAGCTGCCTTCAGCCCTGCTCCCTCCATGGAGAATTCCATCCCTGAGGTTTACAGCCTTGTTTTGTACAGTTTGAACTCAAAGCAGGAACTCACTTCACAGTTTCATCTCTGCTAATAACTCCCTCTATTGAGCAACACACTACCCAAGATCAAGAACCGTAATCTTTAAAGAATATAAACAGTTCACAGAAGAGATCCAAACAGACACACCAGCCCTTAAAGAGAGGTCTCAGCTACACAAGGTGGCACATACCTGTAATTGCAACTTGGAGCCAGATGAAGGATGGGGAGTTCAGGGCCAACTTCCCCTACTTAAGACCTTGTCTCAAACAAACATACTAACAAGCAAAACAAACGACTGACTCCGGAGACGCCCCACCCATCCTTGCTGTGTTCTATTTTCCTGAGCCCCTGTTTTCTACTAACTTCATTTACGTCGATGTTAAAATCCTCAGGCCTGGGGCCTGGAGAGATGCTCAGTGGTGACGAGCAGAGCACTTGCTGCGATTGCTCATACTTCAACTCCAGCAGAGCAGGCGGTTCGGTTCTCAATGCTCAGATGCTGCATTTCATAACTCCATTCATAACTCCAGTCCCAAGGGCTCTGCCGCCCTCGCCTGACTTCCACAGGCACACCACTAAGCCTTTGGTCCTTCTTATACTATAATACATAGGCACACACATTTTTAAATTCTTCTTTAGATTTTACTTATTTTTATTTTATGAGTATTTGTCTGCAAGTGTACCTGTGCACCAATGCATGCAGTGTCTGTGGAGGCCTAAAGAGGGCGTCAGATCTCCTGGGAATGCTGTTACAGATAGTTGTGAGCTGCCATGTGGGTGCTGGAAATCAAACCTACATCCTCTGGAAGAGAAGTCGGTACCCTTAACCACTGAGCACTTTCTCCAGCCTTATTTATTTATTTGTTTGTTTGTTTGTTTATTTATTTATGGCAGGATCTCATTATATATCTCTAGCTGGCCTGGAACTCTGGAACTTGCTGTGTAAACCAGGTTGATCTTGAATTCACAAACCTTCACCTGCCTCACCCTCCATATGTTGGGATAAAAGGTGTGCATCACCACTCCCAGCTTCTCTACCTAATTTTTGTTTAGTGTGAATTGTCTGCAATAAACATGGCTTTTTAGGCTGGAGAGATGGCTCACTGGTTGCTCTTTCAGAGGTCCTGAGTTCAATTCCCAGCATCTACATGATGGCTTATAACAATCTGTAATGAGATCTGGTGCCCTCTTCTGGGCAGGACACAGTATGCATAATGAGTAAATAAACCCTTAAAAAAACAAAATAAAACAACAACAACAAAAACATGGCTTTTAAAAGTACCCTGCTGGGTGTGGCAACATACACTTGTAATGCCAGAATCTGAAATTACAGGCAGGAAGATCAGGAGTTCAAGGGCAGTCTGAGCTACAAACCAAGTTCCACTCCAGTCTAGACTACATGAGATCCTGTCTCAAAAACAAACAAAAGAAAAAAACAAGAAAGAAGAAAAAAGCCTCGCATGATGGTGTGTATCTACAATCCCAGCACTCAGAAGGCAGAGGCGAGAGTCAGGAGTTCAAGGTAATTCTCAACTATTTGCCAGTTCAAGGTTAGCCTGGGCTACAGGAGATCTTCTTGTCTCCTTCCCCCAAAGTTCTTTCCCATATGTAATTCCCTAAGTAATACTGGGAAAGACAACACACTAAATATAAGTTAACAGTAGTGGGTAAGCCTATTTCTAGGTCGGCCTTGAATTCACAGAGATCTGCCTGCCTCTGCCTCTCAAATACTAGAATTAAAGACATTATACCTGGCTTCTTCTTCTCTTTTTCCTTTCTTGTTCCCTTATTTTAGTCTGTTTTATAGGTTTTCTGCAGCTGCTTTTATAAAACAGGAAGAAAAAAAGATTTGGTAAGGTTTTTTTGTTTTTGTTTTTGTTCTTTTAAAAGAAAAATTTCCTCCAGGCATGGTGACACACACACCTTTGATCCTAGTGGTCTGGGGGCAGAGGCAGGTGGGAATGAATCTCTGTGCGCTCCAGGTCAGCCTGATTTACATAGAAAGTTCCAGACCAATCATGGTGACACAGTGAGACCCTGTCTCCAAAGAATAAAAATTTCCCTAAGTGGAGCCGAAGTCTTTCAGAGTGGTATCAATTCTAGTACACAAAGAACTATATATAATATATACATTTTATTATATAGTTATATGTATATGTGTCTGTGTATATTTGTTCTATTATTTGCCACGCTCTGTAACCTGAGTCTATGGGTGCATGTACATGCCAGTGTATGTGTGTGTATTGTACCCATGCTTTTCAGGTTCTACAAGGTACACTTCTCTGTCTTTCTCCTCATTTCCATCGACAACCGTCCCATTTCGTCAAGGTCCTGCAATATGATTAATATAGGGATATATGAAAATGACTATTAAAGATAGGGCTTTTATGTCATAACCCCAAATCAGCCACACAGGTGGTCTCAGTTCATACACCTATCGGGACAATGGAAATCAAAACTAATCTCGTTCATATCGAGAGAATTAGTTGAATATACGATGCTTAGTGCAGAGTAGCAAGTGTTGAGTAGCTTATTACCGTACTGCTCTGTGCAAAATGGGCAAAAGTTGCATTACAAGGTTGTTGTTGCTGTTATTCCCCTCCGTTCCACGAGATGCGCTGTCGCTTCCAGGCTGCCTGCCCTGAGGTCCTGATGGCGGAAGTTCGTCTAGCTGCGGCTACCGCGCCCAGCATCATAGCCCACTTCGCCTCCCGAGCGCGTCCGCTCCGTGCGGTCTCATATGCAGATCTTGTCACAGCAACACGTAACACCCGGCGTCCTTAATAAGCCATCTTCCTCGCCGGCAGTTTTAGACAGTGATAGAGACTTCTTCCGGGAGCCGGCATCCCTCCATGACCTCAGAGGTACACTTCCGGGACGCGGAAGTGACCCGTCTGCCCTCCCCTTCCGCCTCTCTCTTTCCGGTGGAGGAGTCTGGAGACGACGTTCAGGTAGGAGGCCTGGCCGCCGAGAATCGTGCGACATCCACTGGTCAGGGACATCTGCGGGGTCGGGGCCGGGGTCTGTGAGCGGTATCCGAGTCAGGTGCGTGGTAGAGGCGACCAGCCATGCGCTCGGTCGCCTGCCCGCCCCGCCGGGGCCCAGGGCTGCGCCGTGTCCCGGAGGCAGCCTCTGGCCTGAGATCGGGAGGTCGGAAGTGGGTGCGGGTCCTGCCTGGGCCTCGCCGTCCAGCCACAGCCGTCGCCCAGGGCGCTTGGGAAGCGCGTCCCCAGCCGCGGCTGCGCCGACACCGGCACGCCATTAGGTTGTTAGGGCGGTCGCAGGCCTGCACCTAACCTCGTTTCTCATGTGAAAAACGCGAGTAGGCTTCGTACCGGCCGCCTCTGTAAGTCGAAGAGTAAAAGGGAGTTTCGGAACCCGGTCCCTGTGCGGAGGGCTTCTAATCCGTGGTGGTTCCCTCCCCCGAGTCGGACACATTACCTGTCGGGGTGCTCCCTAGTAGAGTCGGACCGATGGCCATGTGTTTACGTTTCTCCGAGTAATCCTTCCCTTATCTCCGCTGAGGACGGCAGAGCTACGTCGAGTAGACGCCATGCCCAACGATGTGTACCCCAGCGGATCGTGTTGGTTAGCCTAATGTGAGGGGAAGAGCAGGTGACTGTACATCCCAGACCTGTCCATTACAGGCTAGGGCGGTGCTTATCAACCAGTGGCGTGACCCTTTCACGGGTCTTGCACAGGATATGCATTTACAGTTCCTAACAATAGCAAAATTAGATTCACGGAGTAACAGCAAAGTGATTATATGGTTGGGGGAGTCCCCAGACCGTGAGGAGAACGGTATTAAAGGGGACCGGCTTTAGTCTGAGAACCGCAGGGCTAGAGTTACTTGATCTCCTGAGCACTGGATTTTCCACATGGAGATCTTTCCCGTTAGACTTCCCGGAAGGAAGGCATATCCTGACCGTCCTCGAACTTGTTCTGTTGACTGGCCTGCATAGCAGCTGGAGAGATCCTCCTGCCTCTGACTCCTGAGTGCTGGGGTTAAAGTTATACACCTGCACGCTTTAGTATTGGTGGCGTGGCTCTTTTACTGTTTGCTACTAGTAAGAGTTAAAGTTTGGTTTTACAGGGTGAGAGGCTGTCTTGGGGTGAACTGCTTGTGAGTGGAGGGCATCTGGTGGGATAGTGAACGTAGGAGAAGGCTTTGAAGGCTCTGTTGGCAAGGAAGAGCTGAAGGGGATCTTCCGCTGTTGACCAGTGAACTTGGCCTTGACTTTTGTCTTATCTTCTTGGGGTCTAAACTGATCTCTGGGGTCCAGGAAACTTAGGTTTAAGTATTGTGTGTGAGCAGAGAATCCCTAACTTGGTTGTGGTCTCTGCTATTCACTGCCTTGCAGTTTACTTCAGGTGTGTCACCCCGGACAAATACACTTTCAAGCTCAGGGAAGGGGAGTTATGAGTGGAACTTGGGCCAGAGACCTGAGGTCTGTTTTTATTTTGGATAGCTGCTTATGAAGGAGATACATGTAGTTGTTGGAACAGTGGGCTCATCCAAAAAATGCTGTGAGCTTTTGTTGAGAAATTGTCTCTTCTCTTGGCACACCTCCCTTTTAGTTACAGCTCAGTAACTCCCCAAGTATAGAGGGGTAAGATATTAGGGAGCCAAAGGAGCAAGACCTGGGTTTAGTTCGTAGAGGAAATGAGCTCTGGACCCTTTCATCTGTTAACATTGAGGTTCTCCTTCCACTTAGAGATGGCACCTCGCAAGGGGAAGGAAAAGAAGGAAGAACAAGTCATCAGCCTTGGGCCTCAAGTGGCTGAAGGAGAGAACGTATTTGGTGTCTGCCACATTTTTGCGTCCTTCAATGACACCTTTGTCCACGTAACCGATCTTTCTGGCAAGTGAGTACTTGGGCAAAAAGGCATAAAACAAGACTCCAAAGGACTGAGGTGTGGGAGGAATTGTATTAATAAAGAGTCTGCTTTTGGACACCTGTAAGTATAAGCAGCTCCTGTCTTGTTTAGAACCGGGATATACGCTCAAATTAACGAGCCTGTCATACCTAAGCAGTTAGCACTGTGTGCCCATTGGGGTTCGTGTATCCTTGTTGGAAAATGAAGACACTGTTCTGCTTTTGTCTCTAGGGAAACCATCTGCCGGGTGACTGGTGGAATGAAGGTAAAGGCTGACAGAGATGAGTCCTCTCCATATGCAGCCATGTTGGCTGCCCAGGATGTGGCCCAGAGGTGCAAGGAGCTGGGCATCACTGCCCTGCATATCAAACTCCGCGCCACAGGAGGAAACAGGTATGACAGGTTGGTGGGGGGTGGATTTTATCTGTTATATGCGAGAGCAAACTGTTGTAGGCATGTATGTTCCTAGTTAGGCATGGGAGCAGATACCTGTAACCCCAGCACTCAGGAACCCAGGCGAGAGGATCTAGAGTTTGGGGCTGGCTTCGCCTACACAGTGAGCCTCTGCCTTAAAGATAATTTGTTCCTTTGTGTTCATCCTTTCTGTAGAGTACTTTTTTTAGCATACATGAGCCCAACCCCTTGTTCCCCAGCACCGTGTAGACTGGATCTCATAGTGGAAGCGGGTTAAGGGTTTCAAGTTGGTTATTGGTTGCATTTTGAGGCCACCTTGAGCTAAACACTGATGCTTAAATAATGAGCTGGGGTACACAGTCCAGATAGAGACAGCAAGAGAAGCTTCTTCAGGTGAGAAAGAAGTTGGGTATTAAAGGATGAATGATTGGTGTGAAGTGTAAGTTAAGAAGCAGGGATGGAGCCTTGTGGGTTTTGTTTGTTTTTCAAGTCAGGGTGTGTGTGCATATGCATGCGTGGGTGGGTGGTTTTTCAAGACAGGGTTTCTTTGTATAGCTTTGGAGCCTGGCCTAGAACTAGCTCTTGTACACCTGCTTCTGCCTCCCGAGTGCTGGGATTAAAGGTGTGCACCACCACCTAGAGGGTTTTTATGTCTTATGGAGCAGGGCAAAGATGGGTCTGAAAACTAGACTAGGCGGCTACTGAGTGGAAAGATACTAGACAGGAAGCTGTTGGGTTGGTCCCTGCAGAAGATGCAGGAACCAGAAAGTAGGAATCAGCAGCAGGGCAGGGGGGCAGCAGAGACCTTAGCCAGGCTGAATGCAGAGCAGGACAGGCATGAGGGCATTTTGCTTGCCCTCTTTTTTCCTTAAGGATTTGCAGGTGTGGTAGTACATATCTTAATTCCAGAATATCTTTGACCTACCACCCACACAGACACAAAAAAGGGTGGAAAATGCAAAAAAAAAAGTGGAAGAAATTACACAAGTGTGTTGTCTGTGTGTATGTGTGCCCTGTGGAGGCCAGAAGAGAACCGTGACTCTCTTGGAACTGGCATTGCAGGTGGTTGTAAGCTACCATGTAGAAAGCGGGGATAGAACCAAGAACCAGGCCCTCTGCCATCGCCAGCCTTCATTTAGCAATTTTGAAATGTTTTGTTTTTTTTAGGGGGGGTGAGGTCATGTAATATGAAAATTACAA